TAAAGAAAATAATTTTCAACCCAGAATTTCATATTCAGCCAAACTAAGCTTCATAAGCGAAGGAGAAATAAAATTCTTTGTAGACAAGCAAATGCTGAGAGATTTTGTCACCACCAAGCCTGCCTTAGAAGAACTCCTGTAGGAAGTACTAAATATGGAAAGGAAAAACTAGTACCAGCCACTGCAAAAACACACAAAATTGTAAAGACAATTGACAATATGAAGAACTAATGACCATAAAAACCAGCTAGCATCATAACAACAGGATCAAAATCACACATAACAGTATTAACCGTAAATGTAAACAGGCTAAATGCCCCAATTAAAAGCCACAGACTGGCAAATTGGATAAAGAGTAAAGACCCTTTGGTGTGCTGTATTGAGGAGACCCACCTCACATGCAAACACAGGCATAGGCTCAAAAAAAATGGATGGAAGAATATTTACCAAGCAAATGGAAAGCAAAAAATAAAATAATATAAAAAATAAAAAGAAGCAGGGGTTGCAATGCTAGTCTCTGATAAAACAGACTTTAAACCAACAAAGATAAAAAAAGACAAAGGACATGACATGGTAAAGGGATCAATGCAACAAAACAAGCTAAATATCCTAAATATATAAGCACCCAATATAGGAGTACCCAGATTCATAAAGGCAGTTTTTAGAGACCTACAAAGAGACTTTTACTCCAACACAATAACAGTGGGAGACTTTAACACCCCACTGTCAGTATTAGACAGATCAACGAGACAGAAAATTAACAAGGACATTGAAACCTTGATCTCAGTTCTGGACCAAACAGACCTAATAGACATCTACAGAAGTCTCTACCCCAAATCAACAGAATATACATTTTCTCAGCACCACATTGTGCTTATTCTAAAATTGACTACATAATTGTAAGTAAAACACTCCTCAGCAAATGCAAAAGAATGAAAATCATAACAAATAGTCTCTCAGACCACAGCGCAATTAAATTAGAACTCAGGATTAAGAAACTCACCCAAAACTGCACAACTACATGGAAACTGAACAATCTGCTCCTGAATGACTACAGTGTAAATAATGAAATTAAGGCAGAAATACATAATTTTTTTTGAAACCAATGAGAACAAAGACACAATGTACCAGAATCTCTGGGACACAGCTGAAGCACTGTTTGCAGGGAAATTTGTAGCACTAAATGCCCACAGAGGAAAGCGGGAAAGATCTAAAATCAACACCCTATCATCACAATTAAAAGAACTAGAGAAACAAGAGCAAACAAATTCAAAAGCTAGAAGAAGACAAGAAATAACTAATATCAGAACAGAACTGAAGAAGATAGAGACACGAAAAGGCCTTAAAAAAATTAATGAACACAGTAGCTGGTTTTTTGAAAAGATTAACAAAATAGATAGATCCCTAGCCAGAGTAATGAAGAAAAGAGAGAAGAATCAAATAGACACAATAAAAAATGACAAAGGAGATATCATCACTGATCCCATAGGAATACAAACTACCATCAGAGAATACTATAAACACCTTTATGTAAATAAACTAGAAAATCTAGAAAAAATGGATAGGCCGGGCGCGGTGGCTCAAGCCTGTAATCCCAGCACTTTGGGAGGCCAAGACGGGCGGATCACGAGGTCGGGAGATCGAGACCATCCTGGCTAACACGGTGAAACCCCGTCTCTACTAAAAAAATACAAAAAACTAGCTGGGCGAGGTGGTGGGCGCCTGTAGTCCCAGCTACTCGGGAGGCTGAGGCAGGAGAATGGCGTGAACCCGGGAGGCGGAGCTTGCAGTGAGCTGAGATCCGGCCACTGCACTCCAGCCTGGGCGACAGAGCGAGACTCCGTCTCAAAAAAAAAAAAAAAATAATTAAAAAAATAAAAATAAAATAAAAAAAATAAAAAAGAAAAAATGGATAAATTCCTGGACACATATGCCCTCTCAAGACTAAACCAGGAATAAATCGAATCACTGAATAGAACAATAACAAGCTCTGAAAGTGAGGCAGTAATTAATACCCTACCAACCAAAAGAGCCCAGGACCAGAAGCAGTCACAGCCAAATTCTACCAGAGGTACAATGAGGAGCTGGTACCATTCCTTCTGAAACTATTTCAAACAATAGAAAAAGAGGGACTCTTCCTGAACTCATTTTATGAGGTCAGCACCATCCTCATAACAAAACCTGGCAGAGACACAACAAAAAGACAAGAAAATTTCAGGCCAATATCCCTGATGAACATTGATGCAAAAATCCTTAATAAAATACTGCCAAACCGAATCCAGCAGCACATCAAAAAGTTCATCCACAATCAAGTTGGCTACATCCCTGAGATAGAAGGCTGGTTCAACATATGCAAATCAATAAACGTAATCCATCACATAAACAGAACCAATGACAAAAAACACATGATTATCTCAATAGTTGCAGAAAAGGCCTTTGATAAAATTCAACAGCCCTTCACGCTAAAAACTCTCAATAAACTAGGTATTGATGGAACATATCTCAAAAAAATAAGAGCTATTTGTACAAACCCACAGCTAATATACTGAATGGGTCAAAGCTGGAAGCATTCCCTTTAAAAACTGGCACAAGACAAGGATGCCCTCTCTCATCACTCCTACTCAAAATAATATTGGAAGTTCTGGTTAGAGCAATCAGGCCAGAGAAAGAAATAAAGGTATTCAAACAGGAAGAGAGGAAGTCAGATTGTCTCTGTTTGCAGCTGACATGATTGTATATTTAGAATAACCCATCGTCTCAGTCCAAAGTTTCCTTAAGCAAATAAACAACTTCAGCAAAGTCTCAGGATATAAAATCAACGGGCAAAAATCACAGTCATTCCTAGACACCAATAATAGACAAACAGAGAGACAAATCATGAGTGAACTCCCATTCACAACTGCTACAAAGAGAATAAAATACCTAGGAATCCTATTTACAAGGGATATGAAGGACCTCTTCAAGGAGAACTACAAACCACTGCTCAAGGATATAAGAGAGGACACAAACAAATGGAAAAACATTCCATGCTCATGGATAGGAAGAATCGATATCATGAAAATGGCCATACACCCAAAGTAATTTATAGATTCAATGCTATTTCCATCAAGCTACCACTGACTTTCTTCACAGAATTAGAAAAAACTACTTTAAATTTCATATGGAACCCAAAAGGAGCATGCATAGCCCAGCCAATCCTAAGCAAAAAGAACAAAGCTGGAGGCATCACGCTACCTGACCTTAAAATATACTACATGGCTACAGGAACCAAAATAGCATGGTACTGGTACCAAATAGACCAATGGGACAGGACAGAGGCCTCAGAAATAACGCCACCCATCTACAACCATCTGATCTTTGACAAACCTGACAAAAACTAGCAATGGGGGAAGCATTCCCTGTTTAATAAATGGTGTTAGAAAAACTGGCTAGCCATATGCAGAAAACTGAAACTGGACCCCTACACCTTATACAAAAATTAACTCAAGATGAATTAAGGACTTACACATAAGACCTAAAACCATAAAAACCTTAGAAGAAAACCTAGGCAATATCATTCAGGACATAGGCATGGGCAAAGACTTCATGACTAAAGCACCAAAAGCAATGGCAATAAAAGCCTAAATTGACAATTAGGATCTCATAAAACTAAAGAGCTTCTGCATAGCAGAAGAAACTATCTTCAGAGTGAACAGGCAACCTACAAAATGGGAGAAAAATTTTGCAATCTATCCACCTGACAAAGGGCTAGTATCCAGAATCTACAAAGAATTTAAACAAATTTACAAGAAAAAAAAATAACTCCATTAAAAAGTGGGTGAAGAATATGAACAGACACTTCTCAAAAGAAGACATTTATGCATCCAACAAACATATGAAGAAAAGCTCATCATCACTGGTCATTAGAGAAATGCAAATCAAAACCATGATGAGGTACCAACTCATGCCAGTTAGAATGGCGATCATTAAAAAGTCAGGAAACAGTAGATGCTGGAGAGGATGTGGAGAAATAGGAACGCTTTTACACTGTTGGTGGGAGTATAAATTAGGTCAACCATTGTGGAAGACTGTGTGGCGATTCCTTCAGGATCTAGAACCAGAAATACCATTTGACCCAGCAATCCCATTACTGGGTATATACCCAAAGGATTATAAATCATTCTACTATAATTCTGTACATACACACCTATGTTTATTACAGCACTGTTCACAATAGCAAAGACTTGGAACCAACCCAAATGGCCATCAATGACAGACTGGATAAAGAAAATGTCACACATATACACCATGGAACACTATGCAGCCATGAAAAAGGATGAGTTCATGTCCTTTGCAGGGACATGGATGAATCTAGAAAGATCATTCTCAGTAGACTAACAGGAACAGAAAATCAAACACCACACATTCTCACTCATAACTGGGAGTTGAACAATGAGAACACATGGACACAGGGAGGGGAACATCACACACCGGGACCTGTCGGGGCATGGGGGGCTAGGGGAGGGATAGCATTAGGAGAAATACCAAGTGTAGATGACAGGTTGATAGGTGCAGGAAACCACTATGGCACATATATACCTATGTAAGAAACCTGCACATTCTGCACATGTATCCCAGAACTTAAAATATAATTTTAAAATATTATGAGCTTAATGGTACAGTCTTATCTATTTTGTTTAAGGGAAGTATCAAGTCAGAGTTTAGAATGAATTATTTCTTTTAACTGCACAGTGTGATTTGTGAAGGTCAGAGTTGAGGTTCAGTGCAGTCAGGCTGGAAAGGTAGCTCCTAGCACTAAAAAGAGTGTGTGAATAAATAAAAGACATGTACCATTTCCTAAGTTTACTTAATATTCACATTAAATGAAAATTATGAGCCTGAATGTGTCCTTGTGGGAGCCTGGAATGAATATGAGTCAAAGATCACATGGAATTAATATATTATAAAATGGTATACAAAATAGGTTTAATTAATCTTCCTCAATCATTCTTATTTTTCAGATCTTCAGGAATTTTACTGGGATAATTGTCCAAATAAATTGCAAGCATTCTATCCAAATGGTAAGCAGAACATCTTATTATGTAACCATATTTGTTTATCCATAATTAGTATAACTTTCTGAGTATTGAAATGAGAAACTTGATTTGCTCTTCTTCACTCATGTTTAAAATTTTATAAGAAAAACTCGAATCACTAAATAATTTCTTTTTATTTTATTTAAAAATTATAATTCTGAGATGTAAATATATGGCATGTAAGCCTGGGAATTATTTAATCACTTTACTCGAAAATCTGGTAAAAGGCAAAATTTCTGAAAATAGACTACTGGAAAACATTTTGTAAACAATATAGAGGGAGAATTGTGTATCAGAATATACACATAAAACTATCTTTTCAGATAATTATGTATCATTTATTTTCTTATAGTGAAATTATAAAAATACAACCTATAGCCTTCCATAGATACATAATTAACTGTGTTTTGAAATGATATCCAATTCAGTACCTTCATACATTTGAAACTTTGATAAGCTAGTCTATCTTCACTTTGGGGATCATCTTCATTAAGAGTTTGTTTTCTCGAGTTTTGAGGTAGGATACTTGAAGTCATTCTTCTTCTTTATAATTATGTGGCAAGAACTATCTCCCTCAAAACTTTATGCTTAAGTTTGGGACAATCACACTGTCAGTCAGATGGTGCAAAGTCTTTTAATGCTGTTGAACATAAGGGAGTTGTCTAAAATACAGATAGTTCTCCATATGAGCTCATAACCCAAGCAATGTGCTTCAAAATTGCATTTATTATATTTTTTCTTATTACAAATGATATTATGTTCATAACGGGTAGATAAATTAGATGCCCATAAATATAAATAAAAAAATATTCTCACCACCTAATGCAACCTGTTAACCTTTTGTATAAACTGGTGAATGTTTTCAGTATACGAACACACAACCTACTGTAAAAATTCAAGAAACGAGTGTGATGATGATGTGAAATGCAGATTCGCCTCCCCTGACCCCACTTCCTCTGCTTGGGTATAAATGCCTGCTCCAACACCTGTTCTCTGTGTGAACTTGGGCAAATCCTTTACTCCCTCTAGGCTTTCCTTTCTCATCTGCAAAATGGAGCTAATAATACACACCTAGCTGATGGGGTTGTCTTGAGGATGAAATATGTTGATACAAGTTAGGTGTGTAGAGCAGTGCCTAGCTCGTAAGTGAGATATTACAAAATTATCTATTGTATTTGAATTATTTTTTGGAATTCTTAAGATGTGCATATTTTGTATTCTTATGTCTCATTTAGCTTTCTACTAAAGGTAATTATTCTTCAGTTAGTTATTTTGTGGTTCCAGATAGAAAATCATATTTTCTAAAAATAATAACAATTTTAGATACTTTTATTTTTTTCCTTTTTAGCATCATACTTTTATCAATTTTGAGTTCACTACTTATTGCCTTGGCTATGTCTTTCAGTGTAACATGAAATAACTGAATAATTCTTTATTCTTTCTGATTTTATTAGGAATGACTTTCATGATTGTAATTTGAGTACTGTGTTGACTATTTGTGTGTTTTATTCTTTTTCTTAAGACGTAATTCTATTCTTAACTATATTTGATTATCAGAAGTTTCTGTTGATGTTCTATAAATCTCGATTACATATAAATTAATGTTTTAATATCTCTTGAGAAGATGATTTGGTTCTCCTCTCTCAGTCAGCAGATTTGCTAATATTATGTTCCTCTTGCATAGCTGGAAGCTTACTTTTATTACGTACCTTAGCTCAATTCCTTTTTGTTTACTTGAGAATTTTAAAGAATATTCCAAAGAAAGAATGATATATGTCATGCCCGTCCGTGTGAAGAGACCACCAAACAGGCTTTGTGTGAGCAACATGGCTGTTTATTTCACCTGGGTGCAGGGCGGGCTGAGTCCGAAAAGAGAGTCAGTAAAGGGAGATAAGGGTGGGGCCGTTATATAGGATTTGGGTAGGTAAAGGAAAATTACAGTCAAAGGGGCTTGTTCTCTGGCGGGCAGGAGTGGAGGTCACAAGGTGCTCAGTGGTGAAGCTTTTTGAGCCAGGATGAGCCAGGAAAAGGAATTTCACAGGATAATGTCATCGCTTCAGGCAAGGACCAGCCATTTTCACTTGTTTTGTGGTGGAATGTCATTGGTTAAGGCAGGGCAGGGCATTTGCATTTCTTTTGTGATTCTTCAGTTACTTCAGGCCATCTGGGCCTATACGTGCAAGTCACAGGGGATGCGATGGCTTGGCTTGGGCTCAGAGGCCTGACAATATATACTATTTTTTATTGCTTGATATCTATGTGGTACTATTAAGGATATTATATTCACGTTGAACTTTACAACATTTTCTGTGGAGTTATATATATGCTGAGACCAGCTCGGTCAGGGAGACCCTAACCCAGCGGCGCTGGAGGAATTAAAGACACACACACAGAAATATAGAGGTGTGAAGTGGGAAATCAGGGGTCTCACAGCCTTCAGAGCTGAGAGCCCCAAACAGAGATTTACCCACATATTTATTAACAGCAAACCAGTCATCAGCATTGTTTCTATAGGTACTAAATTAACTAAAAGTATCCCTTATGAGAAATGAAGGGATGGGCCGAATTAAAGGAATAGGTTGGGCTAGTTAACTGCAGCAGGAACACACCCTTAAAGACACAGATCGCTCATGCTAATTGTTTGTGGTTTAAGAACGCCTTTAAGCAGTTTTCCGCCCTGGACGGGCCAGGTATTCCTTGCCCTCATTGCCGTAAACCCACAATCTTGGGTATGAGCCATCACAGCTGTCCAAAACCTAGTCTATTTCTCATACCATTTTTAAAATTCTGAGATTTATTTCTATGAAAATATTTCTAAGTGTACCAGGTTGTATACACCAGGGTTTGACTATGATTGATTTTTAAAATACTTTTGAAATATTTGAAAACAACACGTAATCCTTGTCATGGACTTATTTGGATATAGTTCTATCAATTTAGCACAAATCATCATAATATTCAAATTTCATGTTCTTATATTCTATTTGCTGGACAGAGATGAGGCTAGTTTGTGCAAATTCTTAAAATGCCCAAGTGATCCATTTGGATTTATACACTAGGCATAAAACTATTGAATATAAGCTGGTGAGTTATGTGAGTAGACCCTACATAGGAAGATGAATCTTTGAGGGTGTGAAAGATCAACTACAGTGGGGTAAGACTAAGGCCAAATATAAGATTTAAGGATCTGTTTAGTTCAGCATTTCTACTTTTGGAAAGCTGACGTTTAGAAATATCTTCCAGTCTTTGAAGGAAGTGTTTAGTGTTGTTATTCTTTCCCAAGGCAATTCCCACCATCTTCTACTTTTCCGTCATCCAGTCCATTTCCTCCATCAGCTTTCCTTCTCAGTCCTTTTGTGACCTTCTGTGACGTTAACTTCTTAAAAGTAAAATATAATGACTTTCTTGTCTCATGAATTTTATCCCCCACTTTTATTTTTAGAAACTTTGATATAGCTTGTAAAAGCCAAGACAAATTTCTACCAGAATTAGAGATATAGCATTCATCCCACCAGCCATCAAACATTTTTGAAAACCAACTATCTGCTAGGCACCATGCTAAGAGGTAGAAAAAGCTATCTCCCTACAAGAGATAGGACCTTTAACCTCCATACGAAAGAGCTCTTAATCTTTTGCTTGAATTCTCCAAAGTTCAGCATCTCCAGCTGACATTGATATATTTTTGATTCAATGACCTGAAGATAACCAAAACTTTAATGAGCTCAGTCTTTATCCTAACCTACCTCTCCTATTATTTCCTATCCTGGGTGATGGCTGATACTAATCTATGCTAGAAACTTAATAACCTGTCAATATGTAATCTTTATTTAATTAATATTTTATGCTATATCTTTACTCTGTCCTATCTTTAACCAAACTTCATAAAAGTCCTATTGATTACATCTTTACATTTATCCCAAACTTCTCTTTACGTTTGTATTTATTATCTCAGTTTTAGAACCACAACATAAGCTTTTTGATTTTTTATAAACCCTTCTTACTTTTACATCCCTACCCCTTTTGTCCATCAACTACATTCCTATCAGAGTTATTCCTAAAATTTGCATATGATCATGACAGTCACCCATTGCTTTTGATTTTGATTTTGCTTTGCTTAGAGGAAAAAACCCAAATCCTCATGATACATTCGGTTTTCTTCACAGCCCAGTACCAAGTTTATTTCTTCTCAATTTATTCCCCTTCTCCATCTACATCATCTTCATTCCCCTGAATTTAATCACATCTAATTAATGTGCATTACGGCTTCTTCATACTTAGATTATGTTCTGACACATAGTGGGTATTCAATCAATGTTTTCTGGTCATTATTTTGAAAAGACAAAGGGCTAGACTAAGCAGGAGTGTATGATCAATTACCTGAGTGGGTCAGACCGAGGAGAAGACATTGTTTACTTGATAACTTACTGGCACTCTTGAAGTTTTGTATTAGAATACCATGGAAATGGAATTCATAAATACAACTTAGAAATGACCTAGTCTAAGCTATGTTTCCTGAATGTTGAGACCTGAAGTATCAGGGACTTGTTTAGAATAATAGTTGTAGCTGTTTAATACTATGAGATTTACTACACCCGAATCTGCGCCAACTTAGGTAAACAATGGTTTGTGTCCTGAGTAGGAATTTAAAAGACACGATGAACTGTAATTCTTATTGATAGAAGCAGATTATTCTGACTTGATTCCAAACTGATTGCATACATGTAATTTACCTCTAAGGGTGTATAATTATGATTTTTCCTGAGGTATCTATATTGAAGTATTTATGAGGATGCAATTTTCACGTTTTTTTAAGAAAAGCATGTAATTGGATACTTGATTTGTAACCTCCAAAATTAAGGTTAGAAATAGAGTCATGAGTGCCTCATGGAAGACTTCAGATGGAGAGAGAGTGAACGAATTTAGTAGCTGCTTCATACAACTTGGCTCAAATAGAGATTGTAGTCTTTCTCCTAGTCTTTATCGTA